TTGTATCACATGTGAAACAAATTAGTTCTATTTAAAACCTGTTATGACCGTAGGGCACCATATATATATATATATATATATATATATATATATATATATATATATATATATATATATATATATATATATATATATATATATATATATATGATTATATTCAAATACAAACAGTGCTTAAAATACAAACAGTGTGGATTCATCAGGATCGTTGGATTTTGAGATTGGATGTACATGATTTTTTTTTATTATTTATGGTAGCTTTTAATCATATAGGCGTGTGTTTTATTTTAAGGGGGGTATTTTTGGGTTTTTGTTTTTGGGTTAGTGGTTCAATTGTAAATACCATTTCTCTTCTCTTCCTGCACTTTTAGACTGAAACGAAACAAACGAGATATAGTCAGTCTTTTTAACCCAGATTTGTTTCGTAAAGGGCTGAATTTTCTTGTGCCTGAACTTCTCAATTCTTTGGTCCTTGTAAAAGTAGTAGCATTCAGGTCTGGTATGCCCTCGTAACCTGCAATAATGACATACGGGGTTATAAAGTTTATACTGTAGTTTATTTGGTCTTACTATGCCATGGGTGCGTTTCATTGTGCTGGATTCAGGGATGTCCTCTGGATCAGGTCTAGACGCTTTGACAAATATCGTTTTATCTTTTGAGTTGCTTCCGGTGAAGCCCAAACAAAATTTTGTAGAAGTTTTTCTTCCGGAATCTAGGATTTTATCAAGTGTTGAAGTGGTGTCCATCATTTGGATTTGTCGTTTGTATGTGCTTAGCTCCTGCTTCAAGGTCTGTACTTCTTGTTGTAGTTTCTGTTCTCGGTCGGCTGCCTCCTTAAGCATTACATTCCAGTCTGTACTTCGTTTTGTAGTCTTTCTTCTCGGTCAGCTGCCTTTTTAAGCAGTACATTCCTATCAGCTATTTGAGTTTGATATACTTTGCTAGCATTTGTTACAATCTCTATCTCACTAGCTAGTTTACGATTTGCTTTTCGTAGGGCTTCCCATTTGGGATACAACTTATTAAACTCAACTTCAAATGACAAGGCATTTAGTTCTAAATCTTCCGCGAAGACATATTCACCACCCTCTAAGTCAGCTCCTTCAACAGATTCCGAACAGCCAGCGACACGTGCAGTAAATGCGACAAAGTTACCCGAGATTTCTTCAACATCAGATCCAGTTGCTTCAACATCAGGCTCGTCGTCGCTCCAGGTAATGGCTGGCATTGACTTTTTGCGTCTATGGTAGGTGGCACACTCTGCTTGTACATGTCCAAAGCCTTCACACTCATAACACTTGATTCCTTTATTGTTGGGTTTTTCTTTGGACTGTCCTGGACGTGAGAAAGACTGTTTGAAGTTTGACGCACCTGTCCTAGGACCAGTTTTGGATGATGTTGCTCCCCTTTGTAAATTTCTGTAGCATGAATTTTTGGATACCTGTTTCAAAATTTTAGAAAACTGTTTAGTAAAAAAGACAACTGTATCATCACCTGTTTCGTCTGAATCAGATACAACATTATTTTTTTCAGCGGCAAAAGCTACATTTTTTTTTCGTTTTTTTCGTTTTTGTGTGATCAGTTAAAATTTCCATTTCATAGGTTCTAAGATTTCCATTAATTGAGTAACAGTTTTGTTCTCCCAGCCGTCGTGTTCCTGAATAGCCGTGACTTTCATTCTGAACCTCGGGGGTAAGGATCTCAGTATTTTCTTAACAAGCTTTGTTTGTGAGAATGGTTCACCAAGGACCATTGCACGATTCGCCAGTTCCTGTACGCGTGTGTGAAAATCGATGATTGTCTCATCTTCATTCATTCGAAGCTCTTCGAAGTCTGACTGGACCAGTTGCAGCTTTGATTGTTTCACCGATGTAGTTCCTTCGTAAGTTGACTCAAGAGCTTCCCAAGCACCTTTAGCTGAAGGAATACCTGCAACAATTGAAAACTGACTTTCATGCATAAGAGAGTAAATTGTGTCTAAAGCCTTATCATCATTTCCAGCGTTAGTTATCTCTGTTTGAGTCCACTCAGTCTCAGTCTTAGCTACTTCTGTTTCGTCAGTACTGGAACTGGGTTTGGTGGGATGTGTCCAACCTGACACCACAAACCGCCACACGGCTTCACCTTGAGCTTTTAGGTGCGTACGAGTACGAGCCTTCCAATAGGCGTAGTTGTCACCAGTCAACTGGGGGAGGACTTTAGTTCGATCCATTCTGTAACACTTAACACCCCGTGATATCAAACAAATAAGTAATAAACAGATAAATAATAAAAGCCGCTGAAGAGATGAATACAAGGGACACAAAATCGCCAGATCGATAGACTAATAAATTAAGTCTACAGGCTCTGATACCAATTGAAATTGCACCGTGAGACTTGAAATCAAAAAAGTAATGTATTTTTACTTGTTTTAAGTTACGCACCAGTTACGTTCATTAATTAAACTTGTTTAAACAAATATAAATAATGAAGACAGAAAGAATAAAGGAAAGTAAAAACACAAAAGAATTGTTACGCAGTTCGGAGCTCCTTCTCCTACGTCTGCGGGGTAACCCACGTCTGCCCAATCCACTATAGATGTTCACCAAAAGGAGTATTACAAGAGGTAAATGCAGAAGGCCTCCAGCCTTTACCACTACCACTCTTTCTAACACCTATCCAGGACTGACACACGTATGCCAGAACAATCTTCACAAAACGCTTCAGCAGTACCACGTACAGATCATGTATTACAAATTAAATATTCTTAACAATTAGATAGCATAGCAGATTAAATTAGGAAGCTTTGTAAGGAAAGTGTGTACTCAGAATTGTAGTCTCAAAATTGGCAACTTTCCTCTTTGGTGTAGCTTCCTTTTTATAGCAAATATTAAAGCCTCATTCTGATCCTTAATATTAGCTCCTTCTTTTTCGAATAAATCTCAACCACATCCTTTTGTTTTTCTTTGAAAGCTTCATGCGCTGCTGCTGACTTTCTCTTCATTCACCAATGCATACTGTCCACTCATTTATGTATCACATGGCCCAAAGGAAAATTAATTCTAACAACTCTAATTAACATCTTAATTAACAACTAATAATACCACTACTAAATAAAATAGCCAATAAGGATTATCATACAATAATTTTACACTTACATGATGTTTTAAGGCTAAACTACTTGCTATGAGTGTTTCTTTGATAGCTAGTCGATTAGTTTTTACTTGTTATAGTCTTTTGCAAGAATAATAGCCAAAGGGGGAGTTTGTTATTATTTTGATTGTAAACATCAATTGTATTATTGGCTATATTATGGCAAATTAGATTAGTGTAGTACAATTTTACTAATAGACTGTCTGGCGGATACACCAATGAAGATTTGGAAAGTTGCTGAATATCTTTACCTTCTTACCTTCTGGACCGGCGGAACAGTTTCCATATTTAAGATTTTGGAAACCGAAGTTTTAGAAGTCAGATCTTTCTTAGGAAATTCTATGGAAAGTGATCTCTGGCTACATGGTAACCCTAAGGGATTACTTGCCATCCAAGATTCAAAGCCATCCTATTTGTTTGAAGGAGTTTGCCGCCTTGAAGCTTAACACACGAAAGAGTATTTTTCACTTACGAGGAAAATTCTTCCATGAGCGTTTAACAGTTGAATCTTCGAATCTTCATCTTCTCAATACCATCATGGTTCGAGCAAAATCTTTCCATTGAGAAGACAACATTCCTTGTGCTGATTTGAGGACCACATTCTATACAACTGTGGTGCAGTGGTGAGTGAGTCAGTGGGTCGGATAGTGGCATCTTTGAACTCCAAATGAGGGACTCTTTGGACAACTGCATACTCTGATATCCGCTTCAACAATCATCTATAGGCTTCATCAGATTAGGTTTCTACCTTGTGAGGTATAAAACACATTGGGTTGAGATTGCGATCTCTTTACCATCTGTATGATTAACTGGTTGAGATAGTGGATTGGTCTCACTGATGGTGGTCTCCCAAACGTAGATACGATTGTATCAAACTAGGTAAACAATATCGTGTGTCTCTTATATCTGTTTGATTCTATCTTGCATTACATGTTTGCACATATTAATTAACTGCTCTACAACAGTATTACGCCAGTCTCTCAAATAGATTAACTCTGATATATTAGCTTTCATTACAATTATCGTGAAACACAAAAATTTCAATGTGAATGGATTTGAAGTTCACGTCGTTGGTTATGGTGGAGCTAAAGAAACAATGTATAGTGGAGTTTGCATAAGTGATTACAATGGCCGATTAGTAAAAGTTGTACAAGTTGAGTATCCTGGTTTACCAATCAAGAGAATAGTATTATTCAAGTGTGAGTGGTTTGACCCGACAAGTATGGGCATGAAGGTTTATTCGAAGTATAAAGTTGTTGAAATTAATCATAAGCTTAGATTCAATCACTCTCATCATGATGTTGTACAAATAGATAAAATGATATCGAAGATGTTTATTATTACAAAAGAAAGGGGATACGCACATATATAATCTACGCCTAGATCGAGGTTTAAACCTTAGACCTCCCACATAAGGGAGAAACTAAATACCAATGGACCACAAGGTCATTAGTATGATAATTAGTGCATAGTTCAGATATTAAATGAACATGTTATGTTTATGTGTTGTTTGACATTATTATATTTTATTTTAGATGACATGAGGTGGTAGTAGAGCTGGATGCATAGGAGGATGTGGACGAGGTGCATTGGTTACACCTTCAAGTTCTAGCACATCCCTGTTTACACCTCCTCCTGTGGTACCTCCACCTATCGTGACACCACCGTTCACCAATTGCCTCACCAATTTCATCACCATCATACTCTACTGGTCCACCAACATCCTCATCAGTCGCAAGATCATCTATCGGTTGTGATTTGTCAATTATTCAAGTAAAGAATGAGAGGTAAAAATATGTTATTATGTTTACATTTACATTTATATTATTTTCATCTTTATTTATCTATTATATATGTACATGTTGATACCTTCCCACACATGTTCAATTACAATGAAAAAGATATTCATGCAGAGGATTTACCCTGATGGATATACTTGGAAGAATGTGCCGGATGAGTACATGGAGTCGTACTTTGAGGAATTTAAGGTAAATTCACAAAGACCCTTGGAAACTTTATGAAGTTATTAATTTTATGTTTTAATTTGAGTTGAGGTAAACTGAATATCAGTAAATTTAGTATCTTTTTACCATTATGTGAAGTTTATGTGATTACTTTTCAATATCTATTTTTAGATTGAAATTATAGTTATTGCATATTGCCTTATTAAAATATATGGTTATTCAGTGTTAGACATAAGAACTGTTCAATTGAATATTCGTTTTTGCTTTATTGAATGATCATTATAGTCATTAGATTATTCAACAAATGATCTTAGAATGTGCTATTTGTAGGTTTGTGAGAATAAAATAATGTTATGCTACGATCTTTGATTGGATTATGTGAAATGCGAATTGCCCCAAGGGCATGGGGTTATGTTATTTTGTATGAAATGACATCAACATACTTAGTTTCATATTGAGAGTGCAATTATGGTTAGTGTGTCCTCAAGATGTTTCATTAGTCATATTGTTTGTCTTCTTTCATTGTACTCAAATGTTGTAATTGGGGCAATTTTTCCCTTTCCAATGTGTGTATTTAGTTGTCTTGAGTGTTTCTAATTTTTTCATTAGCAGTTTGCTCTTACAAATACTTGGTTTGAACTTCTAATGTTACAGAAATTTTACAAGTGGGATGAGTCCATTGACATACAAGTCCATCAAGCTTTTCTAGCACAAGTAGACATACTCTATACATATATGGTTTCCAAATTCAAGGCGGAACGGACTTCAAATAGGAGGCCATTTTGTCTGCCTAAAGAAACATGGCGCATTTGGGAGGCATATTGGGATAGACCTGATGTGAAAGCTAAATGTGAACAACAACGCAAGAATATGATGAGTGAGGTGGCAAGACATGATATGGAATGTGTGTATTTAGTTCTCTTGAGTGTTTCTAGTTTTTGCATTAGCAGTTTGCTCTTACAAATACTTGGTTTGAATTCTAATGTTATAGAAATTTTACAAGTGGGATGAGTCCATTGACCAACAGGTTCACCAAGCTTTTCTAGCACAAGCAGGCATACACTATACATATATGGTTTCCAAATTCAAGGTAAAACGAACTTCAAATGAGATGCCATCTTGTCTGCCTGAAGAAACATGGGCATTTGGGAGGCATATTGGGATATGCCTGAGGTAAATCTAAATGTGAACAACAACGCAAGAATATGATGAGTGAGGTGGCAGGACTCGATACGGAATTTTCTCAACATACTAGAGAATCTAGATCAGCTATTGAGCACTATCACAAATTGGTAATTCATTTAAGTTAATTTTTTTTTTGGTAAAGTTTATTATTTGTACTAGTTTTTACGCGCATTGCGTGATTGGGATAATGCCCAATGTTTTTTTTTTTAATTTTTTTAAAATAAGTACTTTAAAGTATATCAAGGCAATATTATATTGGAATTGTTCATGCATAGATAATTGAATGTTGACTTTGCGTATTTAAATAGGTAATTCTAAGTTTACAAATGCAAGATAATATAGTCAAGATTGATTATAATTGTCAATAAAATAATTGTATAGGTGTGGTTGAAATCAAATACGGGACATAAGGGAGAGCAAATAAAAATTAGGGCATAAAATATTAAATATATACGAATATTGAAGAGCTAACTGCTGATTGCCAAACAAGGACATTGAGAGGTAGTTTCCCACTTCAATTTGTTGTGTGATTTGAATACTCTTTTTGTCAAAAAATCCACAAGTAGTTAATATGATTGGCTTAATTATATATTTTATTTTTATTTTATTTTTTAAAACAATTATTATTAGTATTATTATTAAATATGTGTATACTCTTATGTCATTTTACATGTTAATCTAAACAGCTAATTTTTTCAAATATCTTTTTAACCACCATTGATATAATTCGCTGGTCAAATCCGCTAACTGCTGATTGTCAAACAAGGACATTGCGAGATAGTTCTCACTTCAATTTGTTGTGTGATTTGAATACTCTTTTTGTCAACAAATCCCTCAAGTAGTTAATATGATTGGCTTTATTAATTATATTTTTTAAAATTTTTCATCGTATTAACAAAATACTTGGTAAATAAATATATAGCATTATTTTGTATTATAACTTTGATATTTAATTAAAAAAATAGTGCACAAAAAAAGATAAATAGACAATGTACTGAATATAATCAATTAATGAATTTGAATGTAAATAATTTTTACATTGGAGAAAAATAAAGACAATATAACTAATAAAATTATTTCTCTTAATTAATTTATTGATAATGAATACTTTTTTTAAAAAAAATAAAGACATTATGGGGACAACGTAGCGAATATAATCAATTGATGAATTTGAATGTAAAGAATTTTTATATTGGAGAAAAATAAAGACAATATAACTAATGAAATTATTTCTCTTATTTAATTTATTGATAATGAATTTTTTTTTTTTTTGAATAAAGACATTGTAGACACATAATTCTGAATTAAAGAAATGAATATGTATTATTTTTTGTTGTAGCTATTAAATTATTATTGTTTTATTTAATAAAAGTAAAATAGAGTACTAATTATGCCAACTTTGATTGGGATGAGGTTCGAACCTAAGACCTTTCTTATTGAAATCAATGAGTAAGTTAACGGTGAACTAACAGAAATTAACGGAAAAGATAATATTTAACGGAAAAGTTAACGGATAATCATATTCATTAAGGATAAATTAGGATATTTTAAGGAAAAATTAAAATCTGATCAATCTGAGCCATTCATTTGATTAAAAAAATTGACCGTTATTTTTTTACCCATTATAGGCCTAACTCTCTATGGCTCTTATTAGTATAGTAGATAGATAGTAGATATATATTTTAAAATATTATATTGTTTATGCTTGTTTATTAGCGAAATGAACTTCAAAAGGAACCTAATCCGTTTGAGTGGTTTGAGCACATACATAAAAAAGAATGGTCAATTCATTGATGAGAGGTCAAAGAAAATTGTTGTAAGTGTAGCATAAAAATTATATATTATTAAACATGTCACAGCTGTATGTAGATGTTGCTGGTGGGGAAAAGAAACAACGTATTTATGGTGCAGGGACTAAGGCATCCTCATTTGTCAATGATAATAGTTGTAGCTCATCTGCTACTTCACAACTTCATCAAGATGCAATGAAGGAGATGGTTGCCCAACAGTTAGAGACCATACAAGCTAAGATGCAAGCTCAACTACAAGTTGAAAGAACTCAAATGTATGCTCAGATTACAAGTTTGTTGGACGAGTTGCCTCGCAACGACATGCTACCCACTTCTATGCCATGACCTTCGACTACTCTACCTGAACATTCTACTAATTCAAATGTTGAAAACCTATGTGACGATGATGAGATAACAACAATCTGATTCAATCGATAAATTACAAAGAGAGAGAATGATTAACCTATATGAGAGTTTACACAATACTCTCCTATCCTATAGGCTAGAGTATTAGACTAAATCTCAACCACTAAAAATACAACTATATAATATAAACTATACACATTAATTACATTACTAACACACCCCCTCAAGCACAAGGTTAGAGGGGGACAACATTGAGCTTGCTTCTGAGTAGCTGATAACGTGGAGCAGGCAGCGGTTTGGTGAAGATATCAGCTAGTTGTTTTTTGGTAGATACGAAGTTGACAACGAAGTCACCAGACGCAACCTTGCCACGAACAAAGTGTGACACCCCGTAAATCCAAACTTTAGTTAAGGATTAATTAGATAATTAATCCTAGTTTTATTGGTAATTTATTTCCAAAATCCTGAAAATTCAATAGTCGGAGGACTAGAATTTGACTAGTCAATCCAAGTCAAAGAGTTGTACCTTATGTCTTATGAGTTGTTCCCTTGTCTCCTTATTCTTCCAACTTTAGTAAGGCCAAAAGATCAGAGTCTTTCTACCTTAAGTTTGTGCTCCAAGCTAACCTAGCATCATCCTTTCATTTCATCCACCAACACTCTAAACACAAAACCTCTACCTTCTCTCTAAGAAGTTGGTAGCTTCTTCTCCAAGCCAAATTTTGGGCATCCTAAATCCTACAAGTTGGCTTCCAAGATTCATACTTTCCTAATCTTGAGCATAGGGGAGGGTAAGATCCTTGATCTCTTGGTGTTTTTAGTATCTTTTTAGATGTCTTTTTCTAAAAATAGAATCTTTGCTGTCTTTTGGGTTGTTTGTGAAGTTGGTGTTGAAGAAGAGCTTTAGGAGAAGCTTTTAAGGGTGAGAAAAGGGAAGTTCTAGGCTACAAAGGTAACCCACGCTTTACAAAACCTATTTTCTTACTTATATGATCATTTTTGGCATCTACTTGTGACTTTTGTGATGAAATGTGAGATTTGATGCATTGTCTTGTGGTAATGCATATTTAGAGCTTGTTATTAGGGTTCTTGTATGCCATTGCTTGTCTATTTCTTGGGTTCAAGTCATATTGTTGTATTGTGTGAGATTTTGGATGTTTTGGACTTGTTGTTGAAAATCCCCGAAGGGATATTTTGGTGTACAGGGGTGTACCCGCCGGCGAAACGGCGGGCAGGGAACCACCCGCCGCCCCACCCGCGGGGAACCAGCCTCGTGGGTGTATGTACCCGCGGGCGGAACCACGGGTGGAGGTCCACCCGTGGCCCTACCCGCGGGGTACACTGTTGATGTTGGTCGGGAATTTGTTCCCCGTGATTCTTTTTACTCGGTATTGATGTTTTGACCTCCCAATGTTGTTTTATTGGGCTGTTTGAGTGTCTTCTTGATGTTTCGTATGTCTAGAACGGTATGTTAGGAATCCATGTAGGATTTGGTGTCTTGAATCGTGCTAAGTGTCCAACTTTGTGATTCGTTGGACCATGATGAGTCTTGTATGTTCTATGGAACTATTTTTGGTTTACCCGTTTGATAAGCATGCTAGTTTGGTGTTGAAATGCTAGTGTGTGCGGTTTGTTACTTCCTATTGAGATTGGCAACTTCTATTGACTATCGTTGGTGTCGGATTGTAATCCTTTCTTGTTGAGTATGGTTTCATATCTTTGTTGTGATCCATTGATTGATTCCTGTGATGTAAACGTATGTACTTGTTGTACTTTGATTGCACGATTAAGGTTTATGGGGCCTTAATCTCCAAGGTACTGATGCGGTCCTCGTGTGGCCATGATTGAGATTGGTGGTTTGTTACTTGAGCTTTGCTCATGAGATTAGTGGTTTTGTGTTATGATATTGAACGGTACCCTCGTGTACTATGAGATCGGTGGTAAAACGGTTATGATTGGTGGTAAAGATTAGTGGGGGACGACGGTCCCTGGCGGAATAAGGTTGGACTCAGAAGTACAGGGTGGCACTAGGAGGTAACGGTTGGAACTAGTGATAAGGTCGGGGGTAGCCATAAGGTTGGAACAGGGCATAAGGTTGGAACTTAGAACTTGGAATTGTGATTCTTGTGACATGTAGTTGTCATTGTGGCATGTAGTTGCCAATGTGTGTATGTGTTTCATTGCTAATGAGCATGTTGAGATGTATTCTACTTTGTGATCAGTAGAATACACCTCGAGCTGTATTTGTTACAGTTGGTAATCTTTTCTTGTTATTGTCTTGGGATGTTGATTTCCCTTTTTCCTTTGAGAGTGTGAAAGACTCTTTGAAGTTGACTTCTCTCTATGGCTTTTGAAATGATATATACTGTATTCCGTTTCAAAAATGGTTTTGACTTATACTATCTATATATGCTATTTAACGCGTATTGATGGATTACAACAATGTTCGCTGACCGGGTGTCATCCCCTTTCTTTATGTTGCTTTACAGGTCTTGAGTAGCTTTTGGAGAGCGCGCTAGCTGCTTGTTAGATAGTGTAGCTCCCTATGACTGTTTCTGTTAGACTTTCGGCCTCTGAGCCATGGTTTTGTATAAGCTTGACTTGGTTGTGTTGTTTAGACTTAGCCTGTAACCTATAGATGTATAGGTGTGGCATAACATCTCTCGGATTTATATAGTTAGCTCCCACTTTGCTTAATCTTAATGATTAGACTTTACCTCTTTCATAAGCTTTAATTGTTTTTAAAAGTTGTTGAAATTCGGGGGTGTTACACAAAGTGATAGTCTATCTCGACGTGCTTCGTTCTAGCATGAAAGACTGGATTTGCCGCTAAGTAAGTGGCGCCCAGATTGTCGCACCACAGTGTCGCTGGTTGACCAGAGTGTAGCCTAAGTTCAAGGAGTAAGGAGATAACCCATGTGACCTTAGCCGAGACATCCGCTAGACCCTTATACTCTGCTTCTGTTGAAGACCGTGCTACCGTGCGTTGTTTGCGGGAGACCCAGGAGATTAGATTATTGCCTTAAAACACTGCATATCCACTGGTAGACTTGCGGTCTATCGGACACCCGGCACAATCAGAATCGGAGTAGGCATGCAGATCGGAGGAGGCTGAGGGCGTGAGCCGCAATCCTAGATCCTGTGTACCTTTAACATACCGTAGGACACGCTTGAGTAAGACCCAGTGTTCGGTAGTAGGTGAGTGCATGAACTGGCATAACCTGTTGACGGAATAGACAAGATCCAGACGGGTGATAGTTAAGTACTGCAGAGCCCCAACAATACGGCGATACTGAGTAGGGTTTTTGAACAGGTCAGAGGACGGACTAGCCGGCTTCGTGACGGCTGCTAGAGTGGCCAAAGCTTTGCAATCAGTCATCCCCGAGCGTGTTAAAATGTTCTTCATATACCGCCGCTGAGAAAGAACCAGGGTGTCCCCGACTGGTAGTGTCTCAATGCCCAAAAAGAAACGCGGTTGACCAAGGTCTCTAATCTTGAACGTCATGGATAGCCGCTATAGTAATGAGTTCACGAGGTCTGGATCATTCCCCAGCATTATGATGTCATCTACATAAACCAAGAGAAAGACCCGTGAGGTTCCAGTGGTGTAGTGAAAAAGCGACACATCAGTCTTTGAAGCCAAAAACCTGGTGGTGGTGAGGAAGTCATGCAGTCGTTTGAACCATGCATGGGGTGCCTGTTTCAACCTGTATAGCGAGCGCTGCAGTCAACACACGTGGTTTAGATGTGTGGGATCCTCGTAGCTCGGTGGTTGCTTCATATAGACTGTCTCAAAGAGATGGCCGTTTAGGAAAGCATTGTGCACATCCAACTGGCGCATAGTCCACCTGTTAGAAAGCGCAAGAGAAAACAATATGCGAACCGTGGTCGGTTTAACCACTGGACTAAATGTGTCAAAGAAGTCTTCGCCAACAACTTGGTTAAACCCTTTAGTAACAAGGCGAGCTTTATAGCGCTCAACCGAGCCATCGGCTTTACGCTTGGTGCGAAAGACCCACTTGCATCCGATGATGTTCATATCCGGTGTAGCCGAAGTGAGTTCCCAGGTATTGTTGTGCAAAAGAGCGTTAAACTCCTGGTCCATGGCGTCTCACCACTGTGGGTGACCAACGGCCTGAGAATAACAAGTTGGGTCAGTGGATCCAGTTAGATCGTAGAACTCTTCGTCCGTGCCCTGAGTTTTGCGCCTTGTGCGCATGACATGGGAAACTTGAGCCTTGCCCCGACCTCGGGTTGCTTTGACCTGTCGGGCCGGTGGTCCTGGCGTGGCATGAGCGGCAGCCGACGGTGGCGGAACCGTTATAGCTAACGGACTCGGCTCTTGTGCTAAAGGCAACTCCACAGCCAAAGGTGTGGATTGTGAATCAACCACTACTGGCCGGAGTAGGCGGGCTCGAGGCAACCTGTATATTGGACTGCACAGAAAATGGGAAAATGGACTCATCAAATCGGACATGCCGGCAGATAAAGACTTTTCCCATGGTTAGGTCCAAACAACGGTATCCCCTATAGGAAACTGGTAACCTAGGAAGACACAAGGCGTTGACCGATATTCTATCTTGTGCCGATTGTATGGCCGTAGATAGGGATAACATTAACACCCGAAGACACGAAAAAAAGTGTATGGAGGTTGAGTTTTGTGTATGCGATAGTAAGGACTATCATTGTTTATAGCGGAAGATGGTAGGGAATTGATTAGGTACGTTGCTGTTTCAAAAGCATAGTCTCAGTATATCTTTGGAGTTGAGCTTTCAGGAAGTAGTGCCAAGCCAGTTTCGACAATATGTCTGTTCCGACGCTCAACTCGCCCATTTTGTTCATGTGTATAGGCACACGATTGTCGGTGAATAATACCGAAAGATTGAAAAACTTTATGAAGACGGTATTCACCCCTAAATCAGATTGGATGGCGACGATAGAACGGGAAAACTGACGTTCTAACATCGCCCGGAAGACATCGAATATTTTATATATGTCTGATTTTAGCCTTAACGGATAAAACCAGCAGTAACGAGAGTGGTCGTCCACAAACTGTACAAAATAACGGTAACCCGAAACACTAATTACAGGAGACGGATCCTAGATGTCCTTGTACAATAAATCTAATATATTATTACTAGTGTTGAAAATTCTATCTAAAGGAAATCGTGAGGATTTCCCCAGCTGACACGCGGTACAAAGTTTTGACGAACTAGTTTTATTGGTGATGACTGGGCAGTGTTTCAGGACTCGCTGAAGTGCTTGATTGTGAGGATGACCCAGGCGTTGATGCCACACCTCGGAGGACGCACGCCCAGTTAGGAAAGCACACGGAGACTAGGGAAGCAATAACTTGTATAGTCCTCCCGAGGTAGACCCTCTAAGAAGAACCGCTTGAGTTTTGCAATCCTTCACAAGAAACAAATTTTTGTGAAACTCAAAGTAAACATAGTTTTCATTAGTGAAACGATAGGCGAACAATAATGGTAATGTTAAATTTGGAACATATAGATTATTCGACATTGACAAGGATTTTGATTTAGACGGGATAACCGTATGTCCAACACGAGAAACGTCCAAACATGTACCGTTGCCAATTTTGAGAAAATCACCACCATTGTAGGCCTCTGAGTGACTCAGCATCTGTTCATCCGGGGTCACATGCGACGAGGCTCCGGTGTCCGGATACCACGCATCCGCCGCCGCTTGCACTGCAGGTTCGCTGGAAACCGCGGCGTTGGCGTGGCCGGCCGGGCAATCGGAGTACCGCCTGTAACAGTAAATGGCAGTGTGGCCATGGGACTTGCATATTTGGCATCAGGGACCACTGCCACGACCTTGCCGCCGGGAATTCTGGCCACCTCTGCCGCGGTTCTGCTGTCCACGACCGCCGCGACCAGCCTGCTGTTGATCGCCGTCGTGCCTCCCACGTCCAGCGAAGAACGCGGCTAGAGCATTTCCACCACCAGAGGAGTCCCTCACCGCAAAGTCGTCCTCATGGATGAACTCCTGTGCTGGGAGAAAATCCGAAAGTTGCGTCAAGGTCACCGGAGCTCTGGAGGCAGTGAGGCAGAATCTGTTCTTCGGTGGAAAGAGGCCTGTTGGTGAGAGAGAGGGCCTCCGCGATCATCTTGCACCTTCCCAGGTATTCGGCCGGCGAGCCTGGCCCTTGTCGGGGGGTCTGAAATTTCCCCAGGAGCCTCAAACAACGAGCCCTCGTCGTGGAAGCCAATGTGGAAGCGAGGGAATCCCACACCTCCCGGGAGGTTTCCCGTCCAACTGCAAGGTGCATCACCTCGTCGGAGAGCGACGAGATGATCGTGGACAGGATAGCTTGATCCTGTTGGATCCACGCCTCATGAGCGGGGTTCGGTGCAGTGGTAGAAGCCGACGCGGTGGAGTCGCCGGATTGCGGTTGAACAGCTATGGTGGCCACCGGACATGGCTTTGTACCGTCGATGAACCCGAGCAATCCCTGCCCACGCAGGAACGGCACGACCTGGGTGCGCCAGAAGAGGTAATTCCGCATGGTGAGCCGTGTAGACACGAAATGGTGCGCCGCCGCAAGTGTGTTGATCGCTGACGGAGCAGCTGCGGGGGCAGTGGTGATTGTTCGCTCGGAGGAATTGGTCGACATCTTGATTTTCGGGAAGAAATAAACAAAGGGCTAACCTATCGCAACTGATACCAAATGAGATAACAGCAATCTGATTCAATCGATAAATTACAGAGAGAGAGAATGATTAACCTATATGAGAGTTTACACAATACTCTCCTATCTTATAGGCTAGAGTATTAGACTAAATCTCAACCACTAGAAATACAACTATGTAATATAAACTGTACACATTAATTACATTACTAACAACGATTAGATTGTGTGTTAATGTATTTGATACTGTTTCTAACGATGTAACACTTTACAATGCTACACTTTTGTTATTGGTATTGAGTTTGCAATAATATTATTGAAGTACTATATTTTAGGTTTAATACAAGTATGAGATAATAATTAGTTGGCATATTCTTTTTTAAAATTTCAAAAATTTAGCGAGACACAAAAATCGTAACGAATTTGTAGCTAAATACCTTCTAACAATAAAGAATGGCAACGAAATAGCAATGAATTTTGTTTAGTTTAGCGATGGACTTAGAATTTGTCGCAACACTTTAGCGACGCCAAATTTTTCGATGGAAAAATTCAGTCACAAATCTATCACTAAAGCAAATAGCGACGGATTTTTACCTTTATAGCGATAGAAATTTGTCACTATTTCCACTTTTTTTTTTTTTTTTTTTTTTGTAGTGGGGTTTGTGAGTCATATGGGGGGCCAACATGAAGGTCAAATTTGAAAAATATTGGGGTGACATAGATAAAATGAATTTTATGATTTTCTTTGCAAACATTCTAGACTATAGGGACAAATTAGAATATATGCCACCTCAAATCAATCATGAGGTTAAAGGTAAAGCTTACTTTGAGAAAGTGTTTGGTACATTGACTGAGTTATTTGATGATTATGATGTCACTTATAATGCTACTGCTCTCCAAATTGTTCCTGCATTTAGTAGTCCTTATATTGATCCTACATCTGCCGCGGTTGGAAAGCCACAACATTTTTTGAAGTCCCAAATAAAGAAACAAAGAATGGAAAGTGGTGGGAGGGAAAAAAAAACTGCGTTGGAACATTAATTGAGTGAGACAATAAGGTTGTTCTCAACCCAACCAATACCTCCCTCGCTAAATGAGGTGGAATATGACATGGAATTGCTAGGGAAGTTTTTTTTTTTTTTTGGCTACCTAATGGGCTTGTTAGGCTACTTTTTAATTTTTTTCTTTTTATTATGATTATTTTATTATTATATTTATAATATAATGGAGCCTATTTTTAAAAGTGAGAGATTTGCAGGGATGTAAAATAAATACTGGAGAATTTGCAAATGTGATGATGTGGAAGTGAGACCCATTTTAGAAAGTGAGAGAGATTTGCAGGGATAAGGATAGCCTAATAGTTGATGATGAAAATTCCTATGATATTCTTAGGTGGTGGAAGATTAATTTTGAAAGATTTCCTATCCTTTATAAGCTTTCTAGGGATGTTTTAACTGTACCAATCTCAACTATTGCCTTTGAATCTACTTTCAGTATATCTGGAAGAGTTTTAGATCCTTTTAGGAGTTCATTAACTCCTAAAATTGTGGAATCTTTGGTTTGTACTCAAGATTGACTTCGGCTGCCAAATACCCCAATACCAATTGAGAAAAATATGGAGGAATTGAAGAGGTTTGAACACGGTAAACTGTAATACTATACAACTGTATAAATGTATTCAATAATTCCATTTAACTTTTGACAATTAACCGAACCTCAACTCTCATATTCTTGTAATTTTTGCAGAATTTAGTGTTGATGGTGGAAGTGGAAATTGGAGGACTGGTGATTCTACAATTCCTCCAATTCTTGTAATTTTATTCTTTATACTTTATATGACATTTTATGTCTCA